TCTTTTGATGACATCCCCTCCATGCCATCATTTCAGCCCATCCACTGACTGAATGATCCAGCATTTTCTCTTTCTCTCTGGTCTCTGCCTCTACACTTCTTTCCAGTTGTCACAGTGTTTTTATCCTTCTTAGGGGTTATTATTATACTGAAGTCAAACGTTTTTGGCCAAAAGTAAGGAGCAGATATATTGAATATCATATTCATATTGCAGAGGAATGACAACTGGCAATGCTACCCATCCAGTGCTGGACTTCAAACTCTTCACACAAAAGGCAAACGCAAAAGTGGAAGTTGATAATGGTGAACAAACGAACGAACGAACAAACTTTATTTTCAAAGGGTTACAAATTAGGCACGCAGGCCTGTCTTACATTCGGCCCTTCCAAACTTCCACCTTTCACACAGCAGTTGTATTTCATCAATGAAGCATGTTATATTCATGTAATAATATGCATATTATATATATGAAGTTAAAAACAAAAGCATGGCTGGTAAAATATGTACGCACGCTCACGCGCGAACACACACACCCACATACACACACAAGCCCAATGACTCACTTACACACAAACATATAGGCACTAAGTACACACATACATACGAACATGCACACACACATACATACAAACTCACATAATAATACATACATACACACACATACATACATACATCCATACATATATTCATACATACATACATACATACTCACATACATACAAACTCACATATAAACATACATATATACATACATACATACATACATATGGGTGAACAGCAGTTAGCTTATGAAAGAGTTAATTATCACAGACAAAAAACATGTCATACCTTGCAAAGCAAACAGATGGACAGGTAGAGAGTGAGTGAACGTCCGTCCACTCAGTCCAAACAAGACTGCAGCCGCATCATCTCCAGGAGAGCTGGAATCCGAGTCTGGCGAACTACTCCTGTGTGTGCCACCAGATGCTCCCGGAATCCCCAGTGATGCAGAATTCCCCGAAGTCTGAAAATTCACTAAGCTTCTGGCACGGGCCCTCGCCGACTGTCCTCCATTGCGAGCCACAACCACATCTGTGCCCCCTGCACTAGCACTAGACCCCGGAGTGCTGGCAGAGTAAGTACGCAGACGCGGTTGATTGTTCGTGCTCAGTTTCAATCCCATTTAAAGTGCTGAACACTCACTTTTACTTAAACACATGAGGAACCCGAAGGGGCACAAGCAACAAAAGGAAATCCAAATATGAGAGCTTTAAGGCGCTAGCACAAACTTTGGCTTGTTGCTTTTCTTGGCTGCCATGTTCTTTTCCTTGTTTGCGTCAGGAACCAATACAATGTGACGTCAGGTCATGTGACACCTAAAAATAGGCAAGAGTACTTACAATCGATAATATTAATTTTCAAATTTATGAATATTTACAATCATTAACACCTGTAAAATTAAAAATAACGTGTCGCTAAGTCAAATACAAAGCATTATTTTTTTGTTACAATATAATAAAGCATGTATACCACAGAGGTGCTTCTCGTCAAAAGGTAAATAAAACTTATATCGTATTAGTTTTCTTACCTTCGTTCACGTGACATGGCCAAGATGGTGGAAGGAACATAACCAGCTGTTATCCTAGGGCTCAAACTTTCTTTCTTCACACTGATCTCCATATTTATCTTACGCTTTGTACGGTTTGAATACTAATGTTGAATACTTGTTTTTTGTTCTTATTGAGTATGTATTTAAATCTGAACCATCGCTCATAATTAATTAAAATAGTAAAATACCACTCGTGTGCCATACTTCCTTCTTACTGTTTCTTCCAAGAACGACAGTACAGTCGACATTTCATCCTCATTGGATATTGCACATCGAACCATTTTTTGTCCATAAGTGCACGTATCCCCTCCTCAGTAAATCTCGCAGCGTATAGCGGCTGACGACACTTCTTCTTCCGTCTTTTGCTTTGCTTTTATATAGCTTAGTGATATCATTTGTAGTTAAAGATTCACATCCATCACTTCATTCTTGCAAATGTTGGTTCCTCGCCTCTCTGGCAGTTGCACTCAGAAGGAAGCTCCCAATTAGTCAACTCTTACGACATGCTTTTGGGTAGGCATTGGGTCTATTCTTGTTTTCCCTATAACAGGGTCCCGCAACCCACACAGGGAAATTAATGGTGTAAGTCAGATTAGTGGCGTCCGTGGCTATGGCATTGCGAGTCCGACTCATAATCCAGCGTACCGCGATCGAAACCTACTGCGGGCTGCGTGGATTTTTATCGTGGTATGGGACGTCGCTGTTCGACCCAGCCTCAATTGGGTACCGGGATGGCTGTCCTGGGGAAGTAAAGACGGCCGGTGTAATGCTGACCACATTACCCACCGAGTGCCGATTGGTCTGAAAAAATATGGGTGCTCTTCCCATATGCCCGATGTGCATAAAGGCGTGAAAAGGAATTGATTGGACTGTAAAAAATATGGGTGCTCTTCCCATATGCCCGATGCGCCTAAAGGCATGAAAAGGGATCTTTACTTTATGGGAGTCGCCGTGGCCGAGCGGCTAGACACTTGTCACGGATCGGAAGGTCGTGGGTTTGCTCCCTGGCGGAGCCAGACTTTTTTCAAAAATGACATTGGCTCCCAGGTTGACCCAGCCTTGAGTGGGTACCGGGTGCAGTCCTGGGAAAGTAAAGCCGGCCGGCATGATGCTGACCACATCACCCATCTTGTGCTAATTGGTCTATAAAAATATAGGTCTAGCCCTATATGCCCTATGACGTGGAAAAGGGTTCTTTACGCTACTTTACTTACTTTAAGTCAGATTCTTCCAATGCCTACGAAATATTCTTTTGGACTGAAAAGTCTGAGGAAGGGTGCTGATCTTACTAACCATTTATGCATTGATTATTATGCAAAGGCCTAACATTTCCTGCAGTGTCTGCCAAAGATTCTGTTAAACTTTTACAATTTCTATAGAATGTGAAAACAGAGGACAGCCATGTCTATTCAAGTGAATCATGGGAGAAGCATCCCTGGTGATGATGGGTCTGACAGTGATCATGACGTCCTGACACCAATCCTAGGGGTTAACACTTCAGTAAGAATTGAAGAGCCAAAATTACAAATAGGTAATGTTTTCCTTGAATGTTATTACAGTACTAGTAAACAAATTGGTGCTTTATTAATATCCTACCCCAAACAGGGGAAATCTATAGATCACAGGACAGTCTAATATTTCAGGGGTTGGTAGATAGGCTGCATGCAGTCATGTGACCTAGGCTGCACTCTCTCATGGGACGTAGGTGGGTTGGGGTTAGGGCCAGTTCCAAATGTTTTGGGGTCGTTAAAAGCATCAGAAAGCTGGGAGACCCAGTTTTACTACCCTCTAAAATATTGGTCTGTCCTGTGATGTTACAACAACATGTTCTTTCCTGTGACAGCTTACAGATTTATATCATGGATGATTTAATTATTCATAATTGCCAATTTTGTTTGGTATCTTGTTGCTGCAACTTGTTTCCAGTAATTTTTTTAAGATTATTAATCTATTTTCCCTATAAATTTTAATTTCCTTCAGTATTTGGATCATTCTCTTAACAAGGGAAAATACAAGGAATTGTGAAGAGAACAAACAGTAAACATCCACGAGACCCCATCAGCAAACAGAAAGCAACATACAACAATTTTCCGTCTACGAACAGGATACTGCAGGCTGAACTGCCACAAGCATAAAATAAAGATTGTACAGTCCTCACAGTGTGCCTGTCAAACTGGACCAGAAACACCTGAGCACATTCTGCAGACCTGCCCACTCTACCAACAGCTTTGAAAAGACACCTGGCCTTAAGAGCAAAGTGTACAGAGTAAACTATGAGGAACCATGAAGGACCTGCTACTGACATGCCAGTTCATAGAGGCAACCCACCCGATGGTCTAATCTGAGCATACGAAACCGAATACAAAGAAGAAAAAAAAAAGAAAAGGATCATACTATTGAGTTTCGATTTTTTAACAAATACTTTGGTTTAATCACAAACACATAAGAAGAAAATTCAGGCTTATGAACTTAGAATATTACTTAACACTTCTTTGAATACTTGAAAGTAATGAAAAAAGTACTTATATTCTTGAAGATCTGAACTTCCAAGAAAACTGGCTTATAAACCACTGTAGCACAGCTGTCGCCTTTGTATATGTTGATTTTCTAATTTTGTGCTATATCCTAACTCCTGACAATCAAGTGATGGCATCTTCCCTGTTACACCACATCATATCTGCAAAACATAAATTTAAATAGGAAATGATTTTTATTGTGCACACTCCTCACATTCATTAACTGTTTCCTGCACAAGATAGAAGGAATGTAATTACTAATGCAGAGCTTAAAGGTAGTAAGTGAGTAGTTTAAAAAAAAATGAATTCATTTCCAAACTTTGATATGCATTAAGAATATGGTGCTAATGCGGGGTCAATGGCTTAGGCGTTGCGAGTCCGACTCGTAATTCCAACGTACCGTGATCGAAACCCACTGCTGGCTGCATAGATTTTTATCATGGTATAAAGTGTCGCAGGTACACCCAGCCTAAAATGGGTACAGGATGCTTGTCCTAGGGAAGTAAAGATGGCCTGCGTAATGCTGATAACATTACCCACCTAGTGCTAATTGGTCCGTAAAAAATATTGGTGCTCTTCCCATATACCTGATGCACCTAAGGCGTGAAACAGGATCTTTACTTTAAAAAAAAAAAAACTTATATGATGCTAATACCATATACTTGTAGACCAGTCAACACTCACTGGGATAGGTGATGTAGTTATTTATCATGCTCATTATTTATACTTTCCGAGACATTCCTGGGTACCAATTTTAAGCTTGGTCAGTCTAGAAGATTTATTTATAAAAACCTTTTTGATGAGGTTTCAAACCTGTAGTTAATTGGCTGGCAGTCAGTTGTTCAAGCCATTGTGCTACCATAGCTTGGAGTTTAATTACGAGGGGGCTTCAAATGAAATAGGTGTGGTAGAAATTACAGTAACCCTGGCTTTGTTGTTAAGGATTTCACCGTATTCATCTACACCATTGTGTCATGTGCTTAACACACTTGACATCCTTTACAATATTGTCAGTAGCTTGGTTATTTTAACCTGTCATACTTTTGAGGTTTTCGTGTGAAGACTTCTCATAATTTTAGTCCCAAACAGGCTTTACTTTAGCTTGTTATGTATGTACCTAAACATTTCCTATTAAACTAAAACATGTCTTTTGTGTACAGCTGCATAAAACAAATTTTTTTTAAAACATAACATTTATGCAGGCACGGGATGGTTCAGTTCATCATTTCTTGTGGTCAATGCAGCTCTGGGAGCGGGTCTTCTCAATTTTCCTATGGCATACCATCAGGCAGGGGGCGTGCTGATAGCAGTAACGATCCAATCAGTAAGTTCCAAGTTATGAGGACAGTCTTTTTTTCTGAGCTGCTCACAGCAGAAATTAAATCCTAATAATTAAGTAAAAGTAAATGATCTTTTTCTATGTCTTCAGGAATATAGGACTAGACCTTTAATCCTGGTATGTTAGGAATTGTGTACAGTAACCTCTAAGCCACACTTGTGTCAAATGTGGTACCTGAGATCATCATTATTTTGCTAGAATTGTAGTTTTTTTTAATTGGATTTTAAAAATATTTCAACAACAAAAATAAATACTTCGGTGATTTCCAACTACCAAGGGATTTTTTTTTTTTACATGCACAAGAATACACACAGGCGTCTGATCTTACTACTCAGAGACCAGGGAAAATTACTAAAGTCCACATGAAAAATTCCCAGCCTTCACCGGGGCTTGAACCCAGGACCTCCATCACTCGAGGCAGACACCATACCTCAAAAACCACTCAGCCTCCACTGAAATTTTTTCCAGAGGAAATAGTCTTACAGGTCTTATATAACAAAAACAAAAAATGTTTTTCCTCCCTGTATCGAAACTTATGTGACACCCTGTGTATGAGAATCACCCCCCCCCCCCCCCCCCCCCCCCCCCCCCCCCCCCCCCCCCCCCCCCCCCCCCCCCCCCCCCCCAAAAAAAAAAATTAACAGGGTTTTATAAAAAATGATATCACGGAACCTAAATTTTTCCGCGGACCCATTGGAGTCTCCAGTACACCAAATGAGTTCAGCTGCTCTGGACAGTGTACATTTAGTAGATGTTATTAATCATTTTTTTGCAATCCCACATAATGTCATAATTATTTTATAAACATATAAAAAAATTATTATTTAAAAAGAAGTTGTAAGTATGCAAGTATTGCTAGTGCTAAATAAATATTTTATGTTTGTTATTGCATATATACAGGAGTCGCCGTGGCGGAGCGGTTAGATGCTCGCCGCGTATCAGAAGGTCGTGGGTTCACTCCCTGGTGGAGCCGGACTTTTTTCAAAAATTACCTTGGCCCCCAGGTCGACCTAGGCTTAAGTGGGTACCAGGGGCCGCTGGGAAGTAAAGGCGGTCAGCGTGATGCTGACCACATCACCCATCTTGTGCCGGTTGGTCTATAAAACTAGGGCTAGTCCTATATGCCTTTTTTGCCTAAAGGCGTGGAAAAGGATCCTGTAACTTTTTTTTTTTTTTAAACTTATTGCATGTATGCAGTAACAAATTTAATGTTAACAATAAAATAATTGTAATTAATTTTTATTATTTATATCTTAAGAACTATGTTTAGAAAAAACTTGGTCTGCAAAGGGATGAAATTGACTTGCTGTAGGTAGGTTTGATTTGCCAAAGGGATGAATTTGGTTTGCCAAAGGGGTCAATTTGCTTTGCAAAAATGTGAATTAGTTTGCCAAAAAATGGGGTGTATTTAATTTGGAAAAGGTGAATTTGTTCTGGGGGAAAAAAGGATGAATTTAATGTGCAAAAGGTTGAATTTGATTTGCAGATGTGTATATCACAGAATGTTCACATTAAAGCAGACAAATAATCTGTCAACAGATATTCGTGGTGTTTGTTGTGGTGGCCATCATGATCCTGGGCTATTGCTCAGACATCAGCAAGACCAACACATATCAGGATGTGGTTCACTCTGTCTGCGGCTCCCTGGCCCAGCTGGCTTGTGCTGTGTGTATCATGCTGTATTGTTTTGGTACTTGCATCACATTCTTGATCATCATTGGAGACCAGTGGGAGTTGTGTAAGTGTTTGATCTTCTTCTTTTTCTTCGTTGTGTTCACCGGCTATAAACTCCAGCAGAAAGTTCAGGGTGTTTGTCCACTTCTGGGCTCCAGTCTTGTTCCAGAACCTGAGTATTGTGTACATTTTCTTTTTTTATGCATCTGCCTTATTTGAATGCAGACTCTTGGTTCCTTGCCTCTCAGGCAGATGCACTTCAAGGATGGAGACTAATTAGTAGACTCCTCTGACATGCTTGTTGGGGAAGCAGTGGGTCTGTTCTTGTTTTCCCCACAACTGAATCCCGGACAAGTTAGAAACTATTTTCCTAGCATTGGCGCATTAGGCATGTGGTGTTAAACTCATGTTTTTATAGACCAGTAGACACTTGATGGAAAATGTAGTCAATAGCACCTCGACCGTCTTTACATCCCAGAGAAGATTTTATGTTACTTCCTGTGTGGGTTTCAGGGCCCCATTTGAGAAAGGGGAGGGGGGGGGTGGAAGGTTGGTTGAAATAAACCCACTGCCATCCTATATAAAAAAAAAATTAGTTGTGTATCCTTTTCAGGACGTTGCAGAAACAACCCCAGCATTTTTTGGCTAATGTGGTTTTTCGAGGCAAATTTACATTCAGTAGTTGGCCATTGTTTTTTTGTTTTTTTTATAACTCGTTGGCTCTCACTACTGCTTTTGAAGTCAATACAAGGTGGCTTGCTGCCAAATCGCTTGCAGCTTGGATCAAACCTGACACCCCAGCATTACAGAACATGTTGTCAAAGGTCACTGATTAAGGATTTTTCCTCTGAAGTTGGAGCGCACCTGTCTGCAAGGCGAATGACCGGCAATGTATGTACAAAAAAGATATGTACAGTTGATCATCATCATCATCTTACACACTTTAGAGGAAGAAATCAACTCACCCACATTAAACGAACTACTGTTTGCTGACGACCTGTGCTTGTTCAACCCTGACGAAGATAGACCTCAAGACCACATTAACAGGTTAAACTCAGCATGCAGTAAATACAACATAAAGATCAATGCAAACAAAACTGAAACAATGCAGGTTAGTGGTACCCTAGGCCCATTACACATACAGATGAATGGTTCCAGTCTGAATCAAGTTAGGAAATTTAAACATCTACAGTATAAAGTGTAATCTAGGAAGATGGTAGAGTGGACAGATAAATAAAAACCAGATCTCAGAAAGCAAGTGTACATATATTCCAATTGTTACTATTATTAAGACATTCAAACATAACTGTGAGTGCAAAGAGACAGATTATAAACAGCATATTCATTCCAACATTAAGCTACCAGTGCGAAACATGGATACTATCTAAAGCCCATGTACGCAAAATCATCACATGCGAGATGAGATGCCTAACCATCCGAGATTGAGTGAATAATGATACCATCAGACAAATTGTGAGAATGTCACCTTGTGTGAGATTCATTGAGAATCAGCAGATCAGGTGGTTTGGCCATTTTGTTAGAATGCAGCAAGATCAAATACCATCACCGGCGCTACATCTCAGAAGATCAGCTACAAGAGGAAGAGGACGGCCATGAAAAAATTGATTAGCAACATTAAAGACACTCTACGCCTTCACTGCATGACAATAGCCAGCGGCAACCAGTGTGCACTGAATCGCAAATTATTCCTTCCAAAGACACTTAATGGCAGAAGTGGTTTATGATGATAATGAAGTATTATGATTGTTTGGATTTGTATAGATAAAGTATTATGATTGGTCAAGATATTACTAAAAAAATAATTTGATTGGTTGAATTTTTGTAGTTAAATTATTATAATAGATTGGATTTTTGTAGGTAAAGTATTCTACAAGAGAGATGACTAGTTTTAAGTGAACTGTTAATCTTCTTATATTAATATTATCTTTGTGCTACTATGCGTCACAGTTCAACAGATTGAAAGTTGCCAATTCAGGGTGCAATCTGTTGCTTGGTATGCTGTGATCTTGTGTAGTATTCACTTATCATTGATTCCTTTGATTCATCTTTTTTTTGTTTTTATCTGTCTGCCTCTTGATGTTTTCTTGTTGTAAATTCTTACTACAGCATGGTTTGGTTTTTACTCATGAAGTTCCCGAACCATTTCAGTATTTGTCATCTCTAATAATGTAAAGGATATGTTACTGTGATATTGTCCTTTGCTTTTACTATGGATCTCAGGAACAGAGGGTATAAATTTAAGGTTTAATGTTTCCTCAGTCAGTAATTTGACCTTTTATGAATGAATTGGCTGAAATCATCCTGGCAACCTTTACTTCCCATTGCATTTCCAGGTACTTTTTTAAGTTTGGCTTGATCTGGGAGCCATGGTTTTAGGGAAAAAAACCTGCCTGAATATAATTTGAACATAAGACCCTTAGGTTGACAGGCAAACCTCTGGTGACTTTAAATTGATGGCTTCCACTTTTAATATAGTTCAACACTATACTTCGTGCTAAGAGTCCCTAAGCAAACAGTGTTAAAAGTGTCCAACATGCTGAAGAAGACTGTGCCCATTTGTGTGGTCATTGAAGTCCCATACCTGCAGGCTGCTTCCTGTTGATCTGCAGAGAGTGCAACCCGTGATGATTGGGAATCTCAGCATACTGATGTGAGATTAATCAGTCATGTGAGCCCAGGACCAGAGCACCAAATGTTGTCTCTGCATTTATGGAAGCTTCCTTGGATGCTGGGGAATGCCCATGATCTACCCCTGCCTTTCCATGAGGGCTGACCAGTCTACATGCAGTTGCCCTGGATGGGTTCTCCAGGGGCATCCCCTGTAGATAAAGGGACAAAGAAAAAACCACACACATAAGGCTGTACCAAGTCTGACAAAACTATCCGGGAAAGCTAACCCAGTTAACAAATGCATGACAAAGTCAGATGTGTCAGCCGAAAGGCGCAAAAATCTCAACTATGCTGTAAACAGGCACAACGTAGTTACGTCACTCTGTCAAATGAAAGGAAGAAGAAGAAAAATGATACAGTTCAGGACAAATGAGCACAAACAGTCTAATGTGAATGTTGTTGTTTCTTTTTTTTCTTTCTTTGACACAATTCAGTTTTCCTGGATGTTTCCAAAAGCGCCTACTGTGGAGCAACCCCATTTTACATGTCTAGAGCTTTCACAATCACAGTTTCCTCCATCCTATTTATACTTCCTTTGTGTTTTCCAAGAAGGATAGACTTTTTAAAATATGCCAGGTAAGCCAAGTTAACTTAGGTTATTTTGTCTCCATTATTTAAAACCATTGTTGTTGATTGATAAGATCATTCTGTTATTTATGATCAGAAAATGAGTTTTGAAATGTTACATCCGACCTGTTCTGTTTTATGGCAGTGAATCTTGGAATGTGAGCAAACAAATTAAGAAGAGTTTGGAGGCAACTGATATGTGGTTCTTGAGAAGAATGTTGTAAATACCTCAGGACTGCCATGAATAACTAATAATGATTGCCTAGAAATGGCAAATGAAAGTAGAACATTACACACAACAATGAGAAGAAGACAAAGTTCTGTGGTCATGTAATGAGAAAAGGAGCACTGGAAAATATTGTGATGACCGGAAAGAGCACAGGTAGAAGAGGCAGAGGCAGACCAAGAGAAATGATGTGGATGGCTTAAGACAGTGGCATGGAGGAATATCATCAGTGGAGTTGATGCAGAACACCAAAGACCAAGATCTGTGGAGATTCATGAATGCCTCTCCAGCTGGCAAGGCACTTGATGATGATGATAAAATAACTTCATCATCACTAAGTAAACTTGAGTATATGGAAACTATACCCCAGCTGGACATTTATTCAAGTTTGTTGATGATAAAATCCTAAAAACCTGTGGTGGATACTTCTTCATTTTCTTCTTCTTCATATTCACCGGCTGTAAACGGTTGAAAGTCTTAGTTGTTCATCCACTCTGGACTTAAGTTCCAGAACCTGTGTTCTGCAAGCAGGCTGATAAGTTGGATGCTTGGTAGTGAGCTAGGTTGTGATAAGGTTAATATGGTGAAGGCTCTCTGTGATCATGTGGATGGTACAGAAAAAGAGACAAGGCTTGAAAATATTATGAAATTGATTCAGCTGGGAGGGAATGAACTGAGGGTCTGGACACTTAACTTGCAAGAGAGTTGTTGATTTGATGTGAGAAAAAACACAAAAATTGCCACATACCACGATGCTGAAGGAAGCTTTGGCTCTAATAATGTCTGTGTCAGTGCGTGCGTGTGCGCGCCAAGTTAAGTGAATGCAGGTGAGAAAATAAGCAGACTTTTACTCAGGTTGCCACTGGCACCTTCAGCGTTGGAATTCTTTGCTGGTTATTCAAGAAGGGGGAGTCAAGTTTTCTTCCTATGGAATAGATGGCATCAATCCAGAGGTCACAGACAGTAATAGTCACATGGATATTTTGCCTGGGCCATGTAGGGAAATGTGCAGGCAGATAGGTTGGCTGGACTGATCCCTCTTGCCCGTGGAACGAGCTAACAAGTAAAGTGGAAAATATTGAAAACTACCTGAGAAAAATGATGCAGCAGGGAGTATCTGTGGTCAGGCTTTGGGTGCCACTCGAGACTTGGGGGAAAGGCAAGATGAGTAGTTAATCAGATGACAGCTGGTACCATCCATGTGGAGACTCTTTGCTGGCTTTTTAGGTTGGAGACAGAGCTAATAGGTAGGTAGTTGTACCCCACCAGGACATCACCCAAGTGATAAACACCCAGTGACATAAAGTACCACCATGCGGATGAGGATCACCTGTGGTGAGCTCCCAGAAACTCCTTTCAGCCATCAGGCCATATCTATGTCTAGGCCATATTTATGGCCCAGCTATATTCAGGGCGCCTGGCAAAAGCCAGGGTGGGGATTCAAAATAACAACAGATTGCATCGACTTAGATTAACAGTGATAACAGAGCTAAGATGGGCTTGTCCTGAATGCTATGATGTCGAATCTTCACCCAGATGAGGATGTGGACAGAGCTAAGATGGGCTTCTCCTGAATGCTATGATGTCAAATCTTCACCCAGATGAGGATGTGGACAGAGCTAACATGGGCTTGTCCTGAATGCTATGATGTTGAATCTTCACCCAGATGAAGGCGTGGACAGAGCTAACATGGGCTTGTCCTGAATGCTATGATGTCGAATCTTCACCCAGATGAGGATGTGGACAGAGCTAACATGGGCTTGTCCTGAATGCTATGATGTCAAATCTTCACCCAGATGAGGATGTGGACAGAGCTAACATGGGCTTGTCCTGAATGCTATGATGTCAAATCTTCACCCAGATGAGGATGTGGACAGAGCTAACATGGGCTTGTCCTGAATGCTATGATGTCAAATCTTCACCCAGATGAGGATGTGGACAGAGCTAACATGGGCTTGTCCTGAATGCTATGATGTTGAATCTTCACCCAGATGAAGGCGTGGACAGAGCTAACATGGGCTTGTCCTGAATGCTATGATGTTGAATCTTCACCCAGATGAAGGCGTGGACAGAGCTAACATGGGCTTGTCCTGAATGCTATGATGTCGAATCTTCACCCAGATGAGGATGTGGACAGAGCTAACATGGGCTTGTCCTGAATGCTATGATGTCAAATCTTCACCCAGATGAGGATGTGGACAGAGCTAACATGGGCTTGTCCTGAATGCTATGATGTCAAATCTTCACCCAGATGAGGATGTGGACAGAGCTAACATGGGCTTGTCCTGAATGCTATGATGTCAAATCTTCACCCAGATGAGGATGTGGACAGAGCTAACATGGGCTTGTCCTGAATGCTATGATGTCAAATCTTCACCCAGATGAGGATGTGGACAGAGCTAACATGGGCTTGTCCTGAATGCTATGATGTCAAATCTTCACCCAGATGAGGATGTGGACAGAGCTAACATGGGCTTGTCCTGAATGCTATGATGTTGAATCTTCACCCAGATGAAGGCGTGGACAGAGCTAACATGGGCTTGTCCTGAATGCTATGATGTCGAATCTTCACCCAGATGAGGATGTGGACAGAGCTAACATGGGCTTGTCCTGAATGCTATGATGTCAAATCTTCACCCAGATGAAGGCGTGGACAGAGCTAACATGGGCTTGTCCTGAATGCTATGATGTCAAATCTTCACCCAGATGAGGATGTGGACAGAGCATGTTTGGGAAGGTTTATGGCATGGGAATGTGCAGTAAATACATTGTTACTGGTGTTTTCTTCTACGTGATATAAACTTTTCTTCCCCTTCTAATATTGAGCATGATAAGTCTTATATTTTATGTTAATTTCATTGACTGATAGAGACAGTGATAATTGACACAAATTTATTCTCCTTGTTCTATTGTGGTGCTGATTATTTATGAGTAAATATTTCTTGCCTTTTCCACAGCATTGTTGGAGTGATCGGCATTTTGTATGTAGTTGGCCTTGTTACTGTGAAATACTTTCTTCCTCATTCTGATCACAAACCAGCAGTAACGCAGTAAGTACAATAGTAAAAGTGTCATACCATTCTTTATATTCCTACAATAAATCTGATGCATTGTATTTTTAAAAAAAAGTTATATTATTGAATGAAAACATTAGTATTGTGTAACATCTTGTGGAATTCACATAGGTAGTTATGCTGATAACACATTTTGATCATGACAAATCAGAAAGAACTCCAGGAATTGATATATATATGATGTTGAAGAAAGTGATAAAATGGACTTTAGTTTGAATAATTGAAAGACAGAAGCAATGGTATTATAAAAAAAAAAATAAGTAGCACCTGAATATATATTAAATATCAAAAACGTTTTCTTTTTAAGGACTGATATAAAAATATTTGTATCCAAGCACATGGATAACATCCGACACAAGATGCATCACATGGATAAGGAACAGAATAGGAGAGGCTGTAACTGCATTTTATAAAATGAAGAACATGTTTTGCAAAAAATCCATGTCGTTGGAGGTGAGGAAAAGAATTCTCGCTCACGCTATAAAGAGATAGCTTTAACATATGAATTTCATTCATAGATAGTAAATGACTGGCAGCCAGGAACACAGCTGAAGAAATAGAAAAATATAAACAATATGTGGCACTCAGAACAGAGACCAAAAATATTGTGCTTAAAGCAAAACAGAAATCATGGGAAGAGTTTGGAAAAAAGTTGGAAAAGAATGCAAGAGAAAACCAAAAACTGTTCTACAAGACCCTTAAGAACATGAGGAAGGAGAAAGAGTGCCCACTTAAATTCATAAAAGACAAGGAAGGGGCTCTGCTTACTTCTACAAATGATATCATGGGCAGATGGAAAGAATACTTCTCAGAGCTCCTCGGCGCTGAGGGAAGTCATGACCCAGAAATAATGGACCTCACTGCTGAGAAGGAATTCAATCATGGGGAAGATAACATCAGGATGGAAGAATTGAAGGCAGCTATTGAGAAGATTAAGCTGGGAAAAGCAGCAGGTCATGATGGTATAACACCAGAGATGGTCAAATATATGGGAGTCGAAGGTGAGCGCCTTCTACTGAAGGTTCTCCAGGCAGCCTGGTGTAGCAAAACTATACCAAAAGATTGGGAGATTGCCATCATTATACCTATATTTAAAAAAAGGTGATAACAGACAATGTGAAAACCCACAGAGGCATATCCCTCCTCAGCATTCCCGGTAAAAGTTACTCTAGAATTCTTGAGCAGAGACTTAGAAGTCTGGTAGAGCCACAGCTGGACGAGGCCCAGTGCGGCTTCAGAGCAAACCGAAGTACTCAAGACCTTATCTTCACACTGAGACAGATGAGTGAAAAAGCCCTGGAATATAAGAGTGAGATTCACTTATGTTTTTTGGATCTGGAAAAGGCATTTGACAAGGTACCCTGGAACAAGCTCTGGGACTGCTTGGCAGGGAAAAACATCCCAGCACCCCTGATCAGTGCAATACAGAGTTTCTACAAAAAGTGCAGAAATTATGTAAGAACAGCAGACCAAAAGTCAGAAGAATTTAAGACCACCAGCGGTGTTAGACAAGGTGATATTCTCTCACCTTACCTCTTCATTCTTATGATGGATGATGTCATCAAGACCTGTAAGGAGAAGACAAAGAAGTACTCTGTAGGGTACTGGAAGATGAGACCAATCTGTATATCAGAGCTGGCTTTTGCAGACGATGTGGCCCTGATAGCTAAATCAGAGGCACACCTTCAGTCCAACTTACTTGTCTGGAAGGAAGAGCTTGAAAAGAAAGGGATGACCATCAGTGTCTCCAAAACTAAAACCATGGTGATCTCAAGAGAGGAGAAGAAACACCAGATCATGATGGGACAGTATGCGTTGGAGCAGGTTAACCAGTTCAAATACCTTGGAGTTGTATTAGACCAAAATGGAGGCATTAAGACTGAGCTGGCTACACGAAAAGCAGCTGCTGGGAGACTCTTCCAGGCCATAAACCGAGGGTTTCTTAGCAAAAGAGAAATTGGCAAGAGGACGAAAATGGCTGTTTACCGCTCTACCTATGTACCAGTCCTGACCTATGGGTGTGAGTCATGGGCAATGACAACAGCTCACAGAAGCCAGCTGCAGGCCTCGGAAATGAGATACCTGAGAAAGGTGGTCCAAGTGACAAGAAGGGACAAAGTCCGCAATCAGACAATACGTCAAGATCTTGATACCCAGCCCTTACTAACCCGAGTGGATCAGTCACAGTTACGATGGTTTGGACATGTGTGCAGAATGGGAGAAAATCGGCCACCATGGCAAGCATGGGAGGCTAAGAACCAGGGAACCAGACCTCCGGGACGACCCAGGGTGCGCTGGGAAGACAACATCCGACAGTCCCTGACTGACAGAGGACTGGAATGGAACAAAGCCAGAAAGAAAACTGCTGATAGAGACGTCTGGCGATCTCTCTGGCAAACCTCTACACCCCAAGGTAGAAGAGGAGCGACTAAGTAAGTAAGTAAGATAGTAAATGAGCAGATTTCTAAAAGCCTCAGAGATGTGGTTTTACTAAAGAATCCTTATAATTCTTTGGACAGCCAAACAAGAGCAACCCAGATGTTTTGAAAGAAGTGAGGACTCAAAGACAACTTATTTTCCGGTCATGTTATGAGAAGAAGGTAACTGGAACACGTTGTGAACATTGGAAAGAGAGACAGAGAAAGGCAACATGAGATGATTCTTGATGCTTTAAGTCATGGCAGAGGGATGTCAACACAGGAACTGATACATCCAGTTGAAGATAGCAGATTGTAGAGAGGCATGATCACCCGTGCTGGTTGGCAAGGCGCTTGATGATGATGAAGGTTACTGTGTTGGGAACTGTGGTAGCACAATGGCTAAACTCTTTGCCTGCTGGCCTAAAAGTGTTGAGGCAGATTTTCATCATAGATCTAGGTACTTCCTGAGAAGTAAAGGCACCCAGATTAATGATGACCACTTTACCATTAAATATTGATTGGTTTAAAAAAAAAAATATATATATATATATAGGTTAGGCTACTCTTTTCGAATTCCAACCGCCAAGGGATTTTTTACATGCACAACAATACACACGGGCGTCCGATCTCACTACACAGAGACCACGGGAAATTACTAGAAGTCAGCGTGAACAGAAAAAAATCACAGCCTTCACCGGAGCTTGAATATTTATATAGCTGTAGTACAGTATGCCTGGTGTGTCAATGGTGAGAAAGGGGCTTCTTCTTCTTCTCCTCCTCCTTTTCTCCCCCATCCTTCTCTTCTTCTTCTTCTTCTTCTTCTTCTTCTTCTTTTTTCTTCAGTATTCCAAGCGCTTGAGGCTCGTTGCTATAGGTATTACCTGCTTCCATTCACCTCTCTGATCAGCCTTCTCTTTCCATAAGTGACTTAAAGTGTTTGAAGTCTGCATGTATATTGTATATCTCCACTGTCTTCTTGGTCAACAAGGAGACCTACTTCCATTCAACCCCTTTGTGCACAGTCTTTGTCTTTTTATTATCTGGCATCTATATTTTCCAACGATTGTAGTTTTTTTTAAACCCTCATAATGCTTCAAGAGCAAGAGGATGGCCGCAGAAAACACGGATCTTCTTCTTCTTCTTCACTTCCTCTTTTACCGCTGTGGGTGTCGAGGGAGATATAAGGTTCTGTTTCTAGCTCTTCTGGCTGCCTCGACCATAGGCACATCGTGCTGTTGTAGAGTTTCTCTGATGTTATACTTCCATCTTGTTCTTGGTCTACCCCGTGCTCTACGTCCTTCTTCTCTTTCTATGTATGCTTTGTATGGTATGGTGTCACAAGGCATTCTCTCTAAGTGGGCAAACCATTTCACTTGCTGTCTTTGTATGTAATCCAGAATTGGTTCTGTGCCGACTTGGAAAACACGGATCGACAACATTAAAGACACTCTATGCCTTCACGGAATGACATTAGCCAGTGGTAGCCACTGTGCACAGGATCACAAATTATTCCTCCCCACAACGCTAAACGGCTGAAGTGGTTTATGATGATGATGATAATGTTAGTAATTAGTGGTAAATATTATGAATACTGTCTTTTAATTTGTCATTTTTCTGAGTGTTACAGTATTTTGCTTAGTGAAATAAATGATCTCTTTTGCTTCCAGGCCAAACTCTTGGATAGATGTGTTCCTTGTTGTTCCAGATATTTGTTTTGCCTATCAGGTAGGGCTTCTTCAGTATGCAATGATATCAATGAATGCAACTTTTTATATGTATAGGGAAATGCTAGTAGTGTAAGTAGTAGTTGTAATAGTAGTAGCAGCAGCAATAGTAGTAGCAGCAGCAATAGTAGTAGCAGCAGCAATAGTAGTAGCAGCAGCAATAGTAGTAGCAGCAGCAATAGTAGTAGCAGCAGCAATAGTAGTAGCAGCAGCAATAGTAGTAGCAGCAGCAATAGTAGTAGCAGCAGCAATAGTAGTAGCAGCAGCAATAGTAGTAGCAGCAGCAATAGTAGTGGCAGCAGCAATAGTAGTGGCAGCAGCAATAGTAGTGGCAGCAGCAATAGTAGTAGCAGCAGCAATAGTAGTAGCAGCAGCAATAGTAGTAGCAGCAGCAATAGTAGTAGCAGCAGCAATAGTAGTGGCAGCAGCAATAGTAGTAGCAGCAGCAATAGTAGTAGCAGCAGCAATAGTAGTAGTAATTTCATCTTCACTGAAAATGGGTCATCTTTTAATTTCTCTTTTCCTGTGCCAGTTAAGTTCCATCATTGTCCTTTTTGTTGTTGAAACTAGTGAACAAGCAGTCTCTGCAGAATCCACAAACCTGCACATGCAGTAAATGCATAAGGCAGTCCCTAGTGGTGCCAGCACCCAATAATCATCACCAGAATTGCAATTTCTCATCGATGGAAGTTATCATTCATGACAGTTTCACCATATTTATAGGAAAGAAGTTATCATTCATGACAGTTTCACCATATTTATAGGAAAGAAGTTATCATTCATGACAGTTTCACCATATTTATAGGAAAGAAGTTATCATTCATGACAGTTTCACCATATTTATAGGAAAGAAGTTATCATTCATGACAGTTTCACCATATTTATAGGAAAGAAGTTATCATTCATGACAGTTTCACCATATTTATAGGAAAGAAGTTATCATTCATGACAGTTTCACCATATTCATAGGAAAGAAGTTATCATTCATGACAGTTTCACCATATTTATAGGAAAGAAGTTATCATTCATGACAGTTTCACCATATTTATAGGAAAGAAGTTATCATTCATGACAGTTTCACCATATTTATAGGAAAGAAGTTATCATTCATGACAGTTTCACCATATTTATAGGAAAGAAGTTATCATTCATGACAGTTTCACCATATTTATAGGAAAGAAGTTATCATTCATGACAGTTTCACCATATTTATAGGAAAGAAGTTATCATTCATGACAGTTTCACCATATTTATAGGAAAGAAGTTATCATTCATGACAGTTTCACCATATTTATAGGAAAGAAGTTATCATTCATGACAGTTTCACCATATTTATAGGAAAGAAGTTATCATTCATGACAGTTTCACCATATTTATAGGAAAAAAAGTTATCATTCATGACAGTTTCACCATATTTATAGGAAAGAAGTTATCATTCATGACAGTTTCACCATATTTATAGGAAAGAAGTTATCATTCATGACAGTTTCACCATATTTATAGGAAAGAAGTTATCATTCATGACAGTTTCACCATATTTATAGGAAAGAAGTTATCATTCATGACAGTTTCACCATATTTATAGGAAAGAAGCAGTACAAAAAACAAAAAAAAGTAGAAGGTAAATGAACAATTTGGGTAGGACATGGAGGAAGCTACAGAAGACTGGATATGATTTGGCATGAGTTTGTTGAGAGTCTGTTCTCCACTGAGTGATAAAGTTGAAAAAGGAAAAAGTTAACAAGTTAACAAATGATTACTAGCATCTTGGTTGGCTGGGTAGTTGTACCCCACCAGGACATCACACAAGCGATAAACATCCAGTAACACAAAATGCCACCATGCGGATGAGGATGACCCGTAGAGAGGTCCAAAAAACCCCTTTCAGCCGTTATGGCCATATCTTTGGCCTAGGCCGTATTTATGGCCCCTGTATAATCAGGGCCCCCGACAGAAGCCAGGGTGGGGCTTCAAACAACAAAAATTGCATCCCACATTGCCACTTGTAAGAGGTCATGTCTCCAAAAGGTCATCAGCATCACATAAAAGGGACAGGGTCACAGACAGCAGCATAACTAACAGGAAACGCAGGCGAATATAATCGCCACAACAGAAAGAAATTCAAGCTCAGATAGCAACTAACCCATCCTTGAGAAAACAGGCCATCAGGCGGTTAAAAAAGGACCAAGCTTTTCTTTTTTGTTTCTTTTCGAACGAACGAACGACAGCAGCATTAGAAAAAAAGTTTGGAGCAAGACCATGCCTGATTTACATTGAAAGACAGAATATGGTGGTTTGGCCATCTAATAAGAATTCAGCCAGACCAAATTGTATATGAGACCTTCTACAGAACACGTAGAAACGGCATCGTTGTAAGACCAACGAAAGAGAGATTGAGGGCGTAGTTAAAATCTAATGCTTTAGGTCAAAATGGACGCTAGGCACGGCCACCTTTTTTTTTTCCTGCCAGACGGTGGCCGTTGCATTTTTGCTCCATTTGTAGACTGGAAGGATATAGTTTCGTCGCCCAGCTTCTGAGTTGAGTGCATGGCGTGACACTGTGAGCTACATGTGTTTTTCGTTGGCACAGGAGCGGAGCAACTATGGGGTGACCCGTTTGCTATGAAGCTGAAACTAGGATTACCAGATTACCAGTTAAAATCTACAAAGAAGAGCTGCCTGAGAAGTCACGATCTGAGATATTCTGCAGTTTAACATTTGGAGGGAAGGTGAGAGGAAGATCAACCAAGTGATGGATAGAGGGCGTAGCTGAAGCTTGCAAAAAAAGAGCAACCTGAAAAGTGCAAGAATACAGAAAACCATGGCACCAGGTAAAAGTCATCATCATCATCATCAGTTTCCACTTCTATCGTTAAGCATTGTGGGGAGGAACAGTTTGCGATCCATTGCTTGATGGGCAGCAATTACTATTGTCAGTCCCTGTCGATGTAGAAGCTCTTTAAATATTATCATCAGTCCATTTTCTCCTAGGGCAGCCTCTTGCTTTCAATTCAGATCTTTTCTACTAAATTGCTACTAAATGACCAACCATTTGATTTTCTGTTTCTCAATGAATTTTCTGCATGGTGTTGTTCATATATTCTGCTAATATCGTTTCTTACTTTGTCTCTGATGCTGGCAGCTTTTCTCAGGCATCTAATTTCACAGGTGTTAATTCCAGTTAGGTTAAAAAAGTGTGATGACAAAATAAGAACAAGGATAAGTAAATAAACTGACAAATTACAACAGTTATGTTCTCTAAGAGTTATTTTCTATTTGTACCAACAAACAGTGTCATGTGAGCATCATTCCTATCTACTCATGTATGGAGAAAAGAAATCTGAAGGAGTTTTCCAAGACTGTTAGCATGGCCATGGTGCTGTGTGTTCTGACCTACTCTGTTACTGCGGCTCTTGGTTACTTACAGGTAAGTGTCTTGCCTGGACTCAACAGAAAATCTGAGTTAACTTTATTTTAAGGCATGTCATATTATATTGTAATTTATCTTCTTCTTCTTCTTCTTCTTCTTCTTCTTCTTTATGTTTACCGGCTGTAAACACCAGTGGAAAGTTCTGGTTGTTCGTCCACGTCTTGACTTTAGTTTTGTTTCAGAACCTGAGTGTTGCATGCACATCCATTTTATAGATCTGACTTCTTTAAATGCATATTGTTGGTTCCTTTTCATCTCAGACATACGCACTCCGACTTCTAAGGAAGCCCTAAATCATAGTCAACTCTTACAGTATGCGTGTTGGGGAGGCAGTGGGTCAGTTCTTGTTTTCCACACAAAAGGGAATCAAGACGTAGAGCGTAATTTATAATACAGTGGCTCCCCATAAGTGGCAATGCACTAAAAAATATGTAAAGTTTGTGGCAGATAGTTATATTTTATGAAGATATTTTTTTTTAAATGCAATTGTGTCAGTTTCAACTTAGATATTTATATTTTAATACTATGCATCTTTTCCTTAGTTTTGGCCAGTTGTGTTTTCTCATTCTTGCTGCACTCTTCACCTGGCTCTACAAGTCGAGGCATAGGAAACACTTGTAACTCGGTTTGGGCTCCCATGAGGCGGAGGGCCCGGTACTACTCCTGCCTGGCAGGATTCTATAGGCTCAACATCGCATCCATCATTCTCATGTTCGGTCACTGGCATTACAGGGAGGATTGCAGGGGGCCGTGTTTTTCAGGTTCATCTATGACCTTTCCAGATAGACTTTTCTGGTCTATCTTCATCTTTTGAAGCAGCATCTCTGACTTTAGCATGCTTTTCTGTTCTGATGTGTATGCTATATTAGAGAGAGAGGGAGACCCAAACACGCACAAGGAAGAGAATTAGAAACTTAGATGAATAATCTGGGGAGTACCTGGTGTCGTCAGCATCTGTGGCTTAAATGGTGCGAGGGGCTTTGTAATGCCGGGTTTGATCCCAGCTGCAGACAGTTTAACTCTTTGAGTCACAGGTGGTTTAGTATCACAGGCGCAAGGGGTAGTCAAAAGAGATGTAAAATTTGCGCATCTCGCGTTCATTGGGCTTCTAGGTAGGAATCTATGAACCTATGATGCGTTCCTTGGGACTCAAAGAGTTAACAGCAGAATGTCTTGCGTTAGTTTTGACAGTGACACCAAGAGCTGACCGTTCACAAAGCAGTGGTAAACCACTGAATGTTACAGTGCCTATAAAAACCACAACTAGCAAACAAATGCTGGGGTTGATACTGTAATGTCCTGTAAATGACACTACAGCCAACCCTAACCTGGTGTGAGATGCAGGAGATGGTAAAAAATAACATGGTTACAAAATAACATAGATTTGTGTGAGTTGGGTGAGAACTATGCTCGACTGGATAAACAGAAGAAGAGGAAGATAAGCTGTGATGTAGAAGATATGTGAGTTTTATGTTGCTTTCCTCAGTTTAATATACTTTTTTGTTTCTATTTTCCACAGTTTGGTGCTGATATCACCTCAGATATTTTGCTATCTTTTGACCAAAACGCAGAGGTGATGGTGGCGGTGGTGTTAATAGCATTCAAGACATATACCACCTACCCGATACTTTTGTTCTGTGGAAGGTAGGAGATTTTATTCTTTTGCCCTGAGAAGCTGCATATCCGACACTTCTGGTTGGGTTTAATTCCCCCTAAATGTCACTTTTACGTGATTTGTTCACAAGACATATAGTTAATGCTATTGGCCGCTTTCATGTCTGTGCATATGTTTAGGAGGTCAGGATATGAATACATTAACTAAAAATAGAATTTAGAGGTATTTTCCATTGAGACAAATTGCTTTTTTTTTCCAAGGAATATGGGCATCAGTTTCCTTAAGACTCAGTGATCGAGGTCATGGCATGAGTTTCCCAATCTGTATGTTTTCTTTAGGCCCTGGAGAGTGAATTCCATCTAATGTAGCAATTTTCAACCTGTCGGTCGCAAGCCTTTTTTGGGTCGAGCGACCCTTTCACAGGGGTTCCCTAAGACCATTGGAAAACACATATTCATTGAAGTTATAAAGGAAAATAATTGTTTGGGGGGTTGCCACAACATGAAGGAAGTGTTTTAAAGCTTCATGGCATTAGGAAGGTTTAAGATACTGCTCTAATGCCTCACCCTGTTCATGTTTGTTGATTACTTCTTTCATAAATCTTCATATATTTTGAGTTGGTTGGTGGTCTATGCTGCAGTGAAGAATAACTTCATTTTCTTCTCTTTCACATTCACCGGCTGTAATCTCCGGTGAACATTTCCGGTTATTCATCAACTTCTGGATTTAGGTCTTGTTCTGGAACCTGACTTTTGTGTGCACGTCTGTTTTACATACCTGATTTATTTGTGTGCAGACTTTTTTTTTAAAACCTGGAACTCAGGTGGAGATGAAGAATGACAAACGGCACCAGCAGCAGAAGAATGGGGTGGGGGAGGGGGTGTGTGTTTCTAATGTGACAAGGTCATAAACGGTACTGACCAAAATCCCTGGGGAGATTTTTTAGGACTTGTCTGTCGTGAAATTTGTTACAGCTGTTTATCTTATTTATTCCTTTGATTTTTAATGTTTGTAAGAACTTTGTGTTTACGATTTTTGGTGTATCCACTTGGTTGATTATATTGTCCTTCTATTTTCTTGTGGTGCTGTAAAGGTCTTATGTTTTCTTTTTCTGCTGATGGTTCTGCTTTCTACTGGCCATGTAAATTGTCGACCCCATTTTTTTAGTTGCCTTATTAGATTCTGTGCATTTTTCATAGGCTCTGACTTTACATACTATTGTTTTGCCTTTTTCTGTGTCTGCCTATTTATTTTTCCTTTCTCCTGGTTAATTTAAGACATATATTATCCATGATGTTTCAAGGACATATGCTTGATTTGTTCTTATGCTGTTAACCATCTAGTTGCCAGCAGTCTTTTGAACTGTCCTTATCTACTGTTGCAGGGCCTTATGCTTATTATTACTTATTAGACCGCTAACCTAATGGAGAATAAAGGAAGACAAAGAAAGAAGAGTCTCGACAATTATTACATTTGGCACAGAAAGGTGGGATTGATAAATGCTGATTGAGATCACAAGATGTAGGGAGGCATGAACAGACAACCCAGGCGGCAAGGCACTTGTCGATGACCATAAACTGTTTTTTTGTTTGATATCTTAAATAGTCAGCATTTTCGCTTGTTTACTTTATTGTTTCTTCTCTCTCTTTTTCACTTCCTCTTTTACTGTTTCGGGTGTTGAGGGAGATATAATGTTCTGACTGTTGTTCTTCTGGCTGTGCTTGACCGTAGACACTTAACGCTATTGTGATTTTTGTAAGTAAAGTAAAGTAAGTAAAGATCCCTTATTACGCCTAAGGCGCATCGGGTATATGGGCAGAGCGTCCCATATTTTTACAGACCAATCAGCACTGGATGGGTAATGTGGTCAGCATTACGCCGGCCGTCTTTTACTTCCCCAGGACAGCCATCCTGGTACCCATTTTAGTCTGGGTAAACCTGCGATGCCCCATACTATGATACAAATCCAGTGATTTTTGTAGAGTTACCTTATTGTTTAGCATATAAATGTTTTTATGAAGTTAGTAAATTAAAAATGTCTGTATCTTCAGGGCTGCTTTGGACTGTGTCTGGCGAATGTGTTGGAGATTGACACCACAGGAAGCACTTGTATACGAACGAAGGCGTCATATCATCATGACATTGGCCTGGTTCATCTTGACCTTGCTGCTGTCGGTGTTCATTCCAAACATAGGAGTGGTCATTCAGATACTTGGTGCTTTGGCTGCTGTATTTATTTTTATCTTTCCAGGTAAGGCTGTATTTCTTGCAAACAATACATAAGGGAAAAAAACAAAGAGAATAATTTAGACAAATAGTAATGTGGTTTTTCTCAATGGTATCCCCCATTCCAAGACGTGGAGTCCACCTATAAAGATCCCTTTACACACCCTTAGGCGCATAGCACCCATATTTTTTTTTTTACCGACGAATCGGCACTCGGTGGGTAATGTGGTCAGCATTACGCCGGCCGTCTTTACTTCCCCAGGACAGCCATCCTGGTACCCATTTGATCCTGGGTCAACCGGCTACGTCCCATACCACGATAAAAATCCACGCAACCCAGTGGAGTCCACCTATAGTAAATAAAATGTAGATACAGATTGGGCAACTGACGGAGATATTAAAATGTGAAGGCAAGAGGAGCTTTCATGGCACTAAGAAATCTGTAGAGGTTAAAAAAAATAAATTAAATTAATACTAAATGAAAATGTCAAATCAGTACTGTTGTATGGAGCAGAAACACGGAGAACAACTAAAACAGTTACTAATAAAACTGCGAACATTTATTAACTGGTGCCTGCGCAGAATAGAGGGAATTAAATGGTGTGTTAGAATCACTGATGTAGAGCTTTAGGAGAGAACTAAACATGTACCATTGGACCAAGAGGCAAAGATGCTGCTGTTGGATAGGACACATGTTGAGAAAACCCTAGAACAGTATAATTAGAATGTCTTTACATTGAAACTCGCAGGAGCATAGAAATAAAGGAAGACCAAGAAAACACATGGACAAGGGCGCCAGAGAGTGAAGTTAAAAAGATATATAGGAGTGAAGTGAGCTGCATGCATTATTGAAGGATAGAAGGACTTGGTGTGAGTTGCTTGAATACCAATGCTTCCTCGGGGGATAGAAGGCAGAAGAAGAAGAATACAGTCTATAGCATCACTACATCCAGTATAAGAATGGAGATGGAGGCAGTAATGGCAGCTTTCTGATGGCTGAAGAGCAGCACAACCTGACATGTTGTAGTTGTAACAGACTCACAGAGCCTGCTTCGGAAAATCAAACTGATGTCCTGTGGGCAGAGTGGCTTGCATTTATTTATAATTGATTTGATTTGATTCAAGAACTGACATCACAACACTCAGGGCATTCCCATAAGCGCTCCATCCCCATATTCAGCAGCCAGCAAAGAGTTCCGATACTAATGGTGCCAGTAGCATTCTGATTAAACATCCGTCTTGCCTTTCCTCTGAGCCTCGAGCATTTGCCAGAACCTCTCGTCATTTCTTTATAAAATATAGATCAAGACTATATCATAGATTTTTTGGAAGGACATTCAGCTGTGTGAGATAATGAGCAGCTGATAGATTGGCTGCTGCCGCTACTGTATGATAACGTAGATGTGGTGAAGGTTGTATGGGATCAAATGGACAATGCAAAAGAAAAGATAGGGAATCCATACACTGAAAGATTAATTCATGGGGGTGTGTGTAGATGTTCTGGAAGATATTCAACATTGAAACCTTTTAGTCAGGTTGCGACTTAGACTGTTACCCTTAACGTGTCAATTCTGTGTTGCTTACGGAAGAAGGGGACTAAACATATGTGGGAATGACAGTTCTTGATTTATTCCTTTATTCATACAATCAGTATTGGAAACTTTGCACTGGCTGCTGAAGATGAGGATGGAGCATGCATGGGAATACCCCAAGTGCTGTGATGACAATTCTTGACTCAGCTCAACTCAACTCCTTTATTCATTCTTGCAGATTTGAAAATAGCTTGATATCAGATATCATTTGCCCAATTCTAAGTCTGGAAAGACAAAACACTGCTCTTCTGATCCATCAGCTTTTGCTGCATGCTGTGTATCAAATGTGTTTGTGTTACCTTTCCTCTGAAGTAAACAATGCAGACAGAAAGAGGAATAATGCTGCATCAGCTATACAAGGTCTATACAAAACTGCCCAGGCTGTTTGTTATTATGAATAAAGACAAATAAGAAATAAGATGGAAGACAAAGAACTAAGAAAAGGAAGATCATTAATAGAATGGACAGTAGTCTTTCAAGTACAGTTTCTTTATTTCTACTTCTTCTTCTTCTTCTTCTTCTTCTGCTTCTCCTTTTCTATCTTTTCTGTTTGCCTCCATGTAAACAGGCATTCATTAACTGGTGCCTGCGCAAAATAGAGGAAATTAACTGGTAGGATAGAATAACTAATGTAGAGCTTTGGGAGAGAACTAAACAGGCTCCAGGGGACCAAGAGGTGGTGAAAAGACCCTGGCGTTAGATAGGACACACACTGAGAAAAAGGAGAACAGCATAACTAGAATGTCTTTGCATTGGAACCCGCAGGGGCATAGGAATACAGGAAGGCCAAAAAACACATGGAGAAATGAGCTGGAGAATTAGGTTAGAAAGATGGGGAGGACATAGGGAGAGCTCCATGTAATAGCAAAGGATAGAACGACTTGGCGTGAGTTGGTTGAGGGCCTATGCTCCATTTGGGGATAGAGAGGCAGAAGAAGAAAGGAAGAAACTTAGTAGAATAGCCCTGTTTTATAGACTACCATTTTTTGCATCTCTGATTTCTTTCTATTGATCTGTACTTGTTTATAAAGTTCTAATATCCTATTCTCTCCTTCCAGGTCTGTGTTTACTGAAGGCAATGCAAAACAGAATAGAGTCTGACATTGAACAGCCAAGGAAAGTGTATGCCCTTAAAGCTTTTGCCATCATCTTCCTCATTGTCGGAGCTTTTATCTTTGGACTGACCTTCACACAAGCTATCATGAAAGATGTCGAGGGGGCCAAGCCAGACTCCTCTAAATTTACGTGTAGCTCTTCGTCTTAACTCTTAGAATACATGATAAAATACCTTGCATTAGATTCTTGTAATGAAGAGTTAATATGACTCTGTTTGCAGATAGAAACCAATTGTTTTTAAGGGATTTATGGTCATCAGTAAAAATGAGAAATGAAAAAAAAAGTTACAGGGACAATGTGAACAACGCCTACAATTATATTTTTTGAAAAACAAAGACTGAAATGGTTTAGCCATTCAATCAGAATAAACCCAATGATGCCAGCAAAACAAAAGCCTGCAACATGAAAGTAGAAACACCAAGATGTAGAGAACGACCAAGAAGAAGATGGACTGAAGGAGTTACTGATACCTTGAGGCTACCGAGCATGCCCTAGTACAGAAACTGATCATCTGTTGACCAGCAACTATAGGGTACAAAGCAGAAAATTGACAAAAGAAAGATGGTGAAAAAAAAAAAACGAAACCAGAAGCTTTAAGATGTCTAATAATGAGATAGGTGCATGTAGATAATTGCTTGTTTTTAAGGAATAACAGCATATGATAATATGCAATCTTAAATGTTTCTCTTGCATACAAATATACTAGTTTTTTTTAGATAACATCATAATATAAAAAATATCTCAGTGTTTATGTCGAAGTGCACATTCAGTTGAATTCGAAGGTATAATTTGAGGCATTTGTGGGGCAAGAATATTAGAGACATATGTTTGCAAAAACCGCTATAGAATAACAATTTTCAGTGAATAATAATAATATATGAACACATGCATTCGGCAAAATAACCTAGTAACAAATGGTTATGAGGCAATAACATTAATAATAACATGTTTTTGACAAGAACCTTGTATAGAACAACAGTGATTTTGAAGGAATAACAATTAAAAAAAAAACATCTTTTGACCCAAGCTCAATTGGCATCAGGGATTTGGATACAGTTACGAGTAATGGACTCATTTTTATTATGACACGTCTTTGATTTAAAAATCTCATACAAAACAACAGTGGTTTTGAATGAATAAAAAAACTAAAAACACATTTCATTGACCATACCTCAGTTGACATCAGAAACATGGCTAAAATTACAAGTCATGTGCTGATTTTCAAGGAATAATTTAAAATACTGTAGATAGGTCAAGTAAAGGATGTTTTTCGAACCTTAGATGCATAAGGCATATAGTACTAGACTATATTTTTTATAGACCAATCAGCTGTCTGTGGCTGATGTGGTCACCATCATACCAGCCACCTTGACTTCCCAGGACTTCAGCTATTACCTATTTTAGGCTGGGTCAACCTGGCAACCAGTGTGGATTTTAAAAGAGAATTCTGCTTTTTTGCACATTTAAAAATTTGAATCCTAGACCTTTAAGTCGTCAGATGAGCATCAGCATTGTGTGTGTGCAAATATATATATGAAAGTATGTATGTGTGTATATATATATATATATATATATATATATATATATATATATATATATATATATATATATATATATATATATATATATATATATATATATATATATATATGTATGTATCATAAGATCCCTTTGTCGGTTCTGGGGCCCTGTTTTTGGAGACAGAAGAATAGACCCACGGCTCCATAATAAGCATGTTGTAAAAGTATACTAATTAGGAGTGTCTCCTTCAAAAAGCCTGCAAGACGAGAAACAAGTTTCTTTGATGTCATCTTTCCATCTTGTACTTGGTTTACCACATGCTCTGTTTCCTTCTCCTCTTTTAGTGTATGCCTTTTTTTTTTTGGTATGACATTCCAAGGCATTCTCTTTAAATGGGCAAGTCATTTGGTTATCTGTCTTTGTATGTAATTTAGAGCTGTTTCTGTGCTGACTTTTCTTCTTGTGACCTCATTTCTGATTTTATCTCTTCTGGTCACTTCTTCAGCACTTCTCAGGCTTCTCATTTCCTTGAATACAATTTAAAAAAAAAAAATGATTTGTTGTGAGTCTGATTTAAGAATTGACATCATAGCTCACCGGGCATACCCATAGATGCTCCGTCTTCCGCAGCAAATGGCGTAAGGTGCAGATGCTAACTGTTCCAGTTGCACACTGATTATACACATGCTGATCTCTTCCTCTCATCTGGCCCTCCTTGCAGGTCTAAACTGAATTCCCCGTTCACACATTTTTGCCCATGTTATTTTATCTAATCTCGTGTCTTCTGCCAAAAGTCGTTCATATACGGTCTTCAGAAAATATCTCCCTTATCTAATAAAAGTGTTCCGGTAGCTTTCACTTTTGTAGCCAGAAAATCCGCTCTATCATTCCCTTGCACTCCTGCATTTCTTAAATAAGTACTAGAAAGTACAAATAAGTAAAAGTGGCCAGCAAGGCGTTGAAGTCATCACTTTTTGAGTGCTTGCTGATTGGTTATTGAAAATATAGGTCTAACACCATATGTTCAATGTGACAAGAAAAGGATCCTTTACTTTTTACCTACTAACACAGGATTGTTTACTTTTTACCTACTAACACAGGATTGTTTACTTTTTACCTGCTTACAAATGAAACAGAGGTTGATATAGAACTGGATCTATGTTGATGTTCTCTGTGACACTGCAAGCTTTGATATTTATATTGTATAGCAAAAATTCATGCACAAATTTATTCATGTCTTGTGTCTTTTCTTAGCTGCTTTATGTCTCTCCTTTTAGCTGTCTTAATCCTCTAATTTTAGCTGTTTTAATTCATTTTTTAGCCATTTGATCTCTAACTAGCTGTCTTATGTCTCTTTTTTTGTGTGTCTTTTCTCTTATAATTTATCTGTCTGTTACCTCTAATTTTTTCTGTCTTTTATCTCTCATTTTGTGTATTTTTTGTCTCTCATTTTATGTCAGTCATCTCTCATTATAGCTGTTTTAGGTTTATGATTTTACTGCTGTTTTTTGTCTCATTTACCTCTGTGATATTTAATGTGTTAATGTGTTATGGATCTCATATTATATGCACTGTCTCTCAATTCACCTGTGTTATGTTTCTCGTTTATGTCATTACCCTGTCTTTCATCATATCATGTAAGATCTCCTGTTTGTGCTAATGTTTTCCTTATATATGATCTGATTGTAAACACAGGGGTCAGAACCTGGTGTCTGTGGCACATTGAGGTCCTGTCTTTTACTAGATAGGTAGCTTGTGTTAATGTCATATTGCATTTGTGTAGTGTTTCTTTTACTCCATCCACCCAACTCTTTCTTGGTCGGCCTGTTGCATTGCAACCTGCTGTTCTCATGTAGAATGCTCTCTAGCTGCTAGCTGATTTTTGTTGTTGTTGTTGTTGTTGTTTCATTCTGTCTGCATGACCAAACGATTTTATTCTGTGATTTTCTGTGAAATCATTTACTGGTGCACCAATGGTAATAAACTGCAAACCACAGATGTTGTTCTTGTTTGTAATATAATTGGATGCAGTACCCAACCACACCTGATGGAGCACCAAGGGACCTGGGCTTATGTACCTACACATCTTACTGGGAAGGTCAGGGATAGTGAGCATAATTTGGATCTTTTCTCCAGGCCATGCCGGCGTAGTGGGTAATGAACAGGCAGACAGATTGGCTGGATCTGCACCACTAGTTGGTGAATTGATACATGACAAGGCAGATGTGGTCAAGGCTGTTTGAGAACAAGCAATGGAATCAGTAGAGAAAGAAGATTATGGCCTGGAGAGAATGAGGCACCTGGGTGTAACCAGAAGGGCTGGCTGGATTACTACACTCAGAGGAAAGGCAAGATGGACATATAACCAGATTGTGACTGGTACCATCAGTATTGGAACTCTGTGCTGGCTGCTGAAGATGAGGATGGAGCATGCATGGGAATGCCGCGAGTGCTGTGATGTCAATTCTTGACTCAACTCGACTCAACTCAACTACCTACACACCCATGGTCACCCTAGCAGCAGATTCCCAGTGCAGATAGGAATAATGGTGCCTTTGAAGTTGGAGTGCGTTTGTCTGAGGAAACAACAGTCTTGCACACAAGTAAGCCAGGCCTGTAAAAAAACAGATTTGCACACAACAGTCAAGTCTTGGAACAAAACCAAAGCCCATCAGTGGACGAATAACCACTTTACAGCCTGTGAGCATAAAGAAGAAGGCTTTATAAAAGATGTTACTGCATCTGGGTTGTTTCTGTCACTTTGCTACATCTCTTTTATTTTTATCTTTTGTGAAGTATTGTTCTTATGCTAAATTCTCCCTTCATGTCACTTACTTTCTAAAAGATGTGATAATTTTATGTCTTATTCATGCCATTCAATGTTTTAATGTAATTTAAAATCTGTTTTCTGCTGTCTGTAAATGTGTCTTTGTACGCCAGTTGCGCATCAGGCATATGAGATTATGTTTCTATTTTTATACACCAATCAAGCCTCGGTGGGTATGTGGTCAAACATCATGCCGGCCGCCTTTACTTTCCTTTACCTGGTACCCATTTACGGCTGGGTCGACCCGAGAGCAGAGGTCATGTTTAAAAAAAAATCCACGTGGATTTAAACCCACAGCTTTTGGATCCACAGGCGAGCATCTAGCCGCTACACCATGACAGCTCTCATTCTGCGGACTGACTGTTTTATCCCTCTCCACTGCTACCTGTAAGTTTGACGCCCCTGGGACCTCAAAGAATCATATCCTGAATGGCAGCCTAACAGGATAAAATCCTATACACCCTGTTCAGCCTGCCAAAAAATAGCTATAATAAGGGTCATCATCAACAGCGTTTGAAAAAAAAAAAAATCACATTCAACCAGCGTCCCCGAAGGGGGAGCTTTAGGTTATAATTGTGACTAGGCTATGTGCGTTATATAAAATGACTTAGCATTGTATGCCGCCAAGAGCCATGAAAAGGACTCCCGCAGTGTTGATACGATCAAAGAAGAAGGACCCAGATACTGTCCCGACCGAAGGCGAGCCAGTGGGTGACAGGGTCACCACCGATGTATAATTAGGGTACCCACAGCAGCTACATCAACTACTGCTTTTGCATACCCTCCTAGGGCCGGGCTGT